TCTTTTATTTTTCTTTTTTTTACAATACATATAAAGATACAATAGTCTTTTTAATATAAATAGTAGATAGAAAAAGTTGTCAGTTTTGATCGAAAACTGTCATTTAATTTAATACTTATTTATGTTCATTTGTTACAATTTCTCATTTGTTAATGTTAAATCCTTAGCATCTAGTCAAATGCACTATTTGGAACTTGTTTTAAAAAAAAAAAATATCATATTCATGGTGTATGCAAATAAGGATTTCCGTGGGAAAAGTTAGTTTAACTTCGCTTCTATCATTAAATCATTTTTGAATATTTTAATTTCGTGTTAATTATGCTCATATAAACTTGATTTGAATTTAACATTAAACTGGCCTTAATTCATTAGCAACCGTGGTTTTCAGCAGTAGTATCACACTAATAATCAATTAATGAAAGTTATCAACCAAACAACATCATTTATAGCTTGGATAATTAACGATTAATTGAATTGGGTCCGATGAAAACAACTAATTTGTCGTAGAAGATGTATCGATCTTTATTTTTATATGAAAACTTAATTTGAACGAAGAAGACGTAGCGACAATTATAATATATATGAAAAAATCATATTGCTAATCAGAATCATTGGTTAAGTGGTGACAAAAAAAAAGAAGAAAAGAATATTAGTTACTTGATATGGTAATTTAAAGTCAAACTATATACATCTTAATAATTAATATTCGGCAGAGAAGATTTACAAGTTTACACAAAAGCCCACGTGAGTCTTTTTTTTTTTCTTTTCTTCCAGTAGCCGTCTCTTTCTTACTCTTCTCCTTGTTCCAAATTTTCCCGAATCCCTCCACATAAACCCTAGAAATCAAAATTCGCTACTCTCTCTGTTACTACTAATTCCTTTTGATTTCAAAACATTATCCCGATAAAGCTTTCGTTTTTCTAATCCCACATTTCTCCGTCTTCTGTTCTGAATCGTCGCTTAGCGTATTGCTCCGTCTTGTCACTTCTCCTCCATGGATACGCAGCAGCAACAATCCGCCATTAAAGTAAGCTCTGATGATTACCCTCAAGCTATTCTCTTTCGGCTTGTTTTTCAATCGAACTCTTTTGAATTTTCCTGGGTTGGGTTTTAGGGCGCGAAAGTGCTTATGGTTGGAGCTGGTGGAATTGGCTGCGAATTACTGAAGACTCTTGCTCTTTCTGGATTCGAAGACATTCATATTGTAAGTTCGTCAAATTGGTTTTCATTTTCAATGTTCGTGAACTTTTAGTATTCATACAAGTTTGTTGTGATTTCTTCTTTCCATTTTTTTGTTTTTTTTTGAATTTGAGTTGTAGACGAAAGTTCAAGCATTTAGAATCTACAATTGAGATACATGATTTGGTTTTAGATTTAGGGTTTTTAATGTTATTGATGATTTGAATTTTTAACATCTTTGAGCTTTTTGATTTGAATAGTTCATGAGATGACCTTGGGATTCTACTGAACACAATTGGGGTTAGTATGACTTGGAAGATGAACTTTTATGTGTATGGGAAGACTTTGTGTTTAGCCACGTTCACCGATAGGTTTTAGTGTGACGTAGTGACTCTGGATAGGCACTGAACTAGTACTGTTTCAGTTTTGGGGTCACAAGAGAAAGATTCGGGTTTTACTTGTGGTTCTCTTAGATTTCCGGATTCGGAAAATGAGTAAAGCAGTGTCTTTTATGCTTATGTTGTCTATGATTAAGTTACTTATTTTCTCGTGTCACAGATTGACATGGACACTATTGAAGTCAGTAACCTGAACAGGCAATTTTTATTCCGTCGCTCGCATGTTGGGCAGTCCAAGGCTAAGGTAATTTTGCTTGAGTTAAGTCCAAGAGATTCCAGTTTGTAAGCGGTCATATATATCTTTACCATATAATCAGGTTGCCAGAGATGCAGTCTTGAGATTCAGGCCTCACATCAGTATAAGATCATACCATGCAAATGTGAAGAATCCCGAGTTTGATGTTGATTTTTTCAAGCAATTTGATGTTATACTGAATGGACTGGACAACTTGGACGCAAGGCGTCATGTGAATCGTCTCTGTCTCGCAGCTGATGTTCCTCTCGTAGAAAGCGGGACAACAGGCTTCTTAGGACAGGTGTTTCTGCGTCTCCTCTACTCTTGCAGTTCTTATTTCGAAAATCTATGAGTGAGATGGACTATACTGCTAGGCCTGAACAGCATTCCATCTCTATCTGACTCTGTAATACTTGTTTGTGTGTTCGAATCAGGTAACTGTGCACGTAAAGGGAAAGACAGAATGCTATGAGTGCCAAACCAAACCTGCTCCAAAGACATATCCTGTGTGTACAATAACCAGCACTCCAACTAAGGTATTAACAATGTATTGTTCGCCCTAGTTTTTGTGAATCTTGGAGAAATCATTTTATATCTGGAATAGTCTTGTGCTTGATTTTGGTGTGACTGTGAAATTTGGATTTGATTCTACAGTTTGTGCACTGTATCGTGTGGGCAAAAGAACTGCTCTTTGCAAAGTTATTTGGAGACAAGAATCAGGATAATGATCTTAATGTGCGATCCAACAACTCTGCAAGCTCATCCAAAGAAACAGAAGATGTGTTCGAACGTGCAGAAGATGAAGATATTGAGCAGTATGGTAGAAAGATATATGATCATGTGTTTGGTTCTAACATTGAAGCGGCTTTGTCCAATGAGGAGACATGGAAAAATCGTAGACGACCAAGGCCTATATACAGTAAGGATGTCTTGCCTGAAAGTCTGATTCAACAAAATGGAGGCAGTCAGAATTGTTCTGTTGCTGATGACGATTCCACGGTGTCTGCCATGCCGTCTCTTGGCCTGAAGAATCCACAGGAATTGTGGGGCCTAACTCAGAATTCTCTAGTGTTCATAGAAGCATTGAAGCTGTTCTTCGCCAAGAGAAAGAAGGTCTGTCTAGTCCTCTCTGTGAACTCTTCCAGTCTACGTATATGTTTCTGTGTACTGATTAAATCATGGTTTTGTCTACATGCTGCCACAGGAAATAGGACACCTTACTTTTGACAAAGATGACCAGTTAGCTGTAGAATTTGTAACTGCTGCTGCAAATATCCGTGCTGAGTCTTTTGGAATTCCTTTGCACAGTCTTTTTGAAGCCAAAGGTATCGCTGGGAACATTGTTCATGCCGTTGCTACGACTAACGCCATTATTGCTGGTTTGATTGTTATCGAAGCAATCAAAGTGCTGAAAAAGGATGCGGACAAGTACAGGTTTGTTGCTTTGAAATCTCACGTCACGGTAATTCATAAGCTTCAGAGTCCTTAAAATATTATATATGTCATAATTTTTTCCCCTCGATGTCTCTGTAGAATGACATATTGCTTAGAACACCCAAGCAGAAAGATGCTTCTTATGCCAGTTGAGCCGTTTGAACCTAATCCTTCTTGCTATGTCTGTTCCAAGGTATTGTATTAACTTTACTTTCGTTTAGCCTTCTTACTCTTTTTTTTTCTTGCATTACCAAATCATCAGGCTTTCTCCTTTTGTATTCACAGACCCCGTTAGTACTTGAGATCAATACTCAGAAATCGAAGCTACGGGATGTAGTTGATAAAATTGTCAAAGCCAAGCTTGGAATGAACCTACCATTGATTATGCACGGGGCATCACTTCTTTATGAAGTGGGTGATGATCTTGATGATATTATGGTTGCAAACTACAATGCTAACCTTGAGAAGGTTCCGTCTTGGTTGTTCTACAAATTGCTCTTCAAACACAGTTTTGGGGGTTCGCAATTTCTCACATTTCCGTGTTTCGTTTTCAGTCTTTATCGGAACTTCCTTCTCCCGTTATCAATGGAAGCTCTCTCACTGTGGAAGATCTTCAGCAAGAGCTATCTTGCAAGATTAATGTCAAGCACAGGTATTCCTTTTGAAACCTGTTTCAATATCGGCTTTGGTTTCTGGAAATCTTACCGTATAGACAGATTCCTGAACTTTTCGTCTGTTGAGATTGGTTACCATCAGACATCATAGTCCTTCTTCCATGTCTGAAAATTGGCAGACGATTTTACAGACTCTCTGGTTGATTCTGTTGTGTCGCAGGGAAGAGTTTGACGAGGAAAAAGAACCTGAAGGAATGGTACTCTCTGGATGGACACAAGCTCCAGCTACCAACGGCGAGAGCGCATCAACATCAAACAATGAGAACGTAAGTGATGTCACAGAGAGTTCCTCAGGACCCGAGATTGCCTCTAAGAAGAGAAGTTTCTCCGAGACCCAGCCTGAGAATCATAAGAAGGAAGCAGAGAACATCGAGAGTGAAGATGAGGATCTCATGGAGATTGAAAATCCCATGATCGTGAGCAAGAAGAAGAAAAGAGTTGAATAGGCTTTTCTTGTAAAAGCTCTAATCTTTTTAAATCATTCCTTTTTCTTTTCGTTTACGTTTTTCTCTCTAACTTTATACTCTCTGAGGTTGTGTCACAAGAAATTACAAAGTATGAATTAGGGGGATTCTTTTGATGGGGAAGAAATTACTCAGATTGTTACATTTTTATTAGAAGATGATCCTTTCTAGGAGGAGCTCAGGAACTCAGAAGAAAGCTATCTTTGCTTTCAGAGTCTCTGTAACGTTTTCAGTTTTCACTAACTGTAATAGCTCCCTTGTATCTTTATTCTCGTTACCAAATTCTCCAGTTTTTGTTTTGAAGTAATCTCAACTACTACTACTTTTCAGTTCATATATGATTTGTTGTCATACACATGTGTAATGTTAAGCACCAGAGGAGAGACTAATGTGAGAAGATTTACATACAGTTTATAAAAAAATATGAAAAATTGTATTTGTGTAGCCTAAGTATGAACAACCTACAACATGGGAGGATGAGTAGATAAATGCATCGGAGTATTTAGCTATACATGCATTATCCACCACCTTCAAGATACATAAAACTTGCAAAGTAAAAAACATCAAAATGAAACATATTATACAACAAAATTCGATGACAAATACTTGTGTCAGTTTATCTTCCGTTGAGGTTAGCAAACTGAGTAAACATGGCAGTTCCAGAGTGTTCGTCCACCGCAGAATCATCTTTTTCTTCAGTCTGAGAAACCGAACGTTCACTTGCTGCGGCGGCGGTAGTGGCAGGTGTGGCTGATGGAGCAACCACCGGAGCAGCAGCCACGGGCTTAGGGGTTTCAACCTCCTCAGCCTCAGTTTTCCCCTGAGAAAAGGCTTCTTGTAGCTGAAGAGCATATTCTAAGTTCCACAACACATCTCCCATCGTTGGTCTATCAACACCATACTCTGCTAAACACTTCTCTGCAGCTTCTGCAAACTTCTTCATAGATTCTGGATTCACAGTGCCAACGAGATGAGGATCAATGATCTTCTCAAGCAACCCTTTTTGTTTCCACTGCATAGCCCATTCTGCCAAGTTAACCTGTTCCCTCGGAAGCTGAGGATTGATGGCTGGTCTAGCACACAAAGCTTCTAGGAGAACGACACCAAAGGAGTAAACATCTGATTTGTCTGTAAGCTGTTGTCTCCTGAAGTACTCCGGGTCTAAGTACCCGAAGCTACCTTTCACGGCCGTACTGACATGGTTTTGTCCAAAGGCAACGTCCTTGGAGAGACCAAAGTCAGCGACTTTAGCAACCAAAGCTTCATCAAGGAGAATGTTTGTTGACTTCACGTCACGGTGGATAATCCCTTGAGCTGTTCCCGTGTGTAGATAGTGGAGCCCACGAGCAGCTCCGATGCATATCTCGAGCCGTTGTTTCCACGTCAGAGGAGAGAGGGTTTTCCCGTAGAGATGGTCTCTGAAAGGACCATTTGACATGTATTCATAGACAAGGATCATCTCTGAGTTCTCGTCGCAGTACCCAATCAAGGAGACCAAGTGTCTGTGTCTGAGCTTAGACAGCATCTGAATCTCTGTGTGAAACTCCGTGATCCCTTGCTCTGACTGTGGATTGCCTCGTTTGATAGCGACTTGAGTCCCGTCGTCAATGGTTCCGATGTAAACGTTTCCAAACCCACCGACGCCGATGATCTCCGATGCATCAAAGTTCTTGGTGACTTCTTGAAGCTCTGAGAGGGAGAAGTTGCGTCCGAGTCCAAGCGTGGAGTTGTACAAGCTGGATTTGTGAGAACCACCCTTGCTTGTCATGAAGCTGCTGTCACCTGCGTGTATAGGAAGCAACCAAGAAGAAAAACTGTTCCTCTTCTGCCAATCTTGTGGCCTCTTCTTCCACTTGTAAACCATTGCTCCAAGTCCTACGAACGCACCAAACATCATAACAAACCCCGCGGTTGCAACCATCCCGTGCTTCCCCATCCCCGTGGTCCTACCATCGACTCCAAACTCTCCATCAAGACTGTTCACAGAGTTGCTCATCTTCAAGACCTCGACTCCATTCAAGATGGCGTTCTTGGTCCCAGTGTCTTCTCCCAAGGGACCGATCTGGACCTGAAGCTCCGGTTTCATAAGAGTCGAGTTCACCACAATGTCTTTGTAGTAAGGAGCAGAGAGATCTCCAGCTACAGTGGACAGATCCAGCCCTGAGATGGCAGTCTTCCCATTGATGTAAACGTTGAAGTAGAGGTCATTGAGTGACTTACTGACAATGTCACAGAAATGAAGACGGACAAGGTAGTGAAACGATGGGTTCGATGGGAAGTTCCATGTGACGTTGAAGTTAGGATCTATGGTGTGAGAATCAGCCATCTCCGCGGCTGTTGCGTAAACCGTCTGCGGCGCAATCAGCGGTGTAACTCCGGGAGGATACACGATCGCTGAAGCTGTTGTTTTGACGTCTTTCGCAAGATTCTCGTCTTTCAAGAACTCTTTGTCAGGTGTCCATGTTCTTCCTAGTGTGTCGTTCTGAGGCGTGATCAAGGGGCCACCGACATTAACCCTGTAAACCGGCTGGTACGCGTAATCAGACAGACCAGAGAAACCGTTGACAGGGAAAAGAGAAGTGCCTGCGTCAGAGATAAGCTCGTCTGGAGCTGAAACGACTTCGATGGCGTTGATGAAAGCGGCTGAATCTTTCAGAGGTTTGAACCTAAGGGAGAACTGAGCATCGGTGATGTTGACGAGGTACTCCTTCTGAACAACAGCTTGGCTACCATCTTTGTCATCTTTGTTATTGTTACTCAGCTTGAAGTTATGAAGCAGAACGTATTTCTCTGTTAAAACAGAGAAAGTTGCTTGCTGGAGATCAAACTTGTCGTTGGGAAAGGCAAAGAAATGGAGACGAAGCCAATGCCAACCAGGTTGTGTCAGATGGAACTTGTAGATGGCTTCTTGGCGGAAGATCCTCGCGGTTAGGTAAATAGGAGAAGGGAGTTTATCCGAAGGAGGAGCAGAGACTTGAATGTCGTCTTTGGCTTCAATGTACTGAACCGTCTCTGAGTCACTCTTGAAGACTCTACCTTCAGGGGTTTTGGCTGACGACTTGGCCCCACAATCGATGAGAATGTCGTCTGCCGGTTTAAAACCAGCGGTTGGGCCACCACCAGCGATGGCGACCGCTGAAGCGAGGCCGGTTAGGGAGAGGAGAAGGGTCAAGAGAAGAGGCATGAAGGGTCTTGAAGAAGAATCTATGACTAGAGACAGAGGTATATTTGGTTCTTTTCTTATCTCCATCCCTCCTTCGTGGGGAGGAAAGAGAGAGAGAGAAGGAAGAGAGAAGAATGAGGAAGAAAATGAGATTTAGAAACGAAACGAGATTGTTGGGTTGCTTGTGGTCGAAGAAAGAGCAAGAAAGAAAAGAAAAGGATGAGTTGTTGTTATTTGTGTGGCTAGTTATCTCTGGTTATGCTGGAGCAAGTTATAATTAGTGAATGTTTTATTTTTAGTAGACTCTTTTTAATCCCTAATTCAAGAAGAATGGAGAAGTAGGACAGAAAAATCTAACATGATCCCTTTTATTAAGGTTTCTTCAGTTCAGCTACATGATCTCTGAGAGTGAGAGCATGAAATATGAACCATGCAGCTACATGATCACTGAGACTGAGAGCATGAAAGATGAACCATAAAAGTAGAAAATAATCTACAGTTTTAACTTTTAACAATGAAACCCAAAAATATTTTTCTCTTTTTCAATCCTTCTTAGCAGCTTTTCTATCAAATCCAAAACACCATAGATTATGTCACATAGATTAAAAAATCATATCTACGCCTACACAATATCTCATGCAAATTTAAGAAATAGGTTTCACATAATTACACATATGAAAGGTTTAATCACAAGAGATTAACAATTTCTAAAGTTTTTAAAATTTAAGAAAGTGTTTTATGTTCTATGTTCGATGTTTGTTTAAAAATAAAAATAAAAGAATTATCACAAACTTTAAAATATAAATACACAAGCAAATAAACATATAATCGAATGGGTATGGCCGTTATGGGCTGGAAGTCCGTGGTCCCGAAATGATGAGAAAAACTATCAATGAATCCAACAATTCTGAGGCCCAACAAAAACCCATAAGATAACTTGAGAAGCAAGCAAACTATACAAAATATTCTGAGATAACTTGAGAACCAAGATATTTTTGTAAGAAAAATTTTGGAGATAATTTTGATAAACAAACCGTAAACGAAAATCAATTGTGTAAAGCCCATTATTTAGAAAATTTTTGGTCCTCTTTTACCAATTGTAGGTATGTTCTGAAGCGTTTGAGACGGTTTTGAGAACGCGAGATATTGTTTATCAAAACGCAAACGCGGCCAATCTATTCTTCTCTTCTGTGTAACAAAGTTTCAAACTTTATTTACGCAACAGTGATTTCAAAGTCGACACCTTTTGGGTGAAAGCAGAGGAATCTCTGACACTGACAGAGTCGACACAACACCGGCGTCACTTATGGTTACAAAACGGAACAAGATGGTTTCAGACAGCCGGAGAAGAAACTCAGATCTGCTTCCGATTGATCTCATAATGGAGATTTTCAAACGATTACCAGTCAAAACCCTAGCAAGGTTCCTCTGTTTGTCGAAGCTTTGGGCATCCATGATCCGCCGCCCAGATTTCATGAAACTGTACCTCGCCGAGTTCTTGAATCGACCGGGTCGTCTCTTCATCTCCTCCACGATTGACAGAAACAGTGTCTTATACTCGTCGCTTCAAACCCATAATCCAGGTGAAGCTTCTGTAGCTACCTACCTAAGGACGCATCCTTTATATTCGAACGCAATGAATCCTAGTAATGTTCATGGTTTGATTTGCTATGAAACTGCGATTTGCTTCGAAACTGCTTCTCCCTCCGAGCTTGTGGTATACAATTCAAGCACCAGACGATCCATCTCGTTGCCCAGATTCGAACCCAAAAGTTTTGTCGTCAGACACTTGTTGGGCTATGATCCCATTGATGGAGTTTACAAAGTGCTGTGTTTGACCCAACCAAGGACCGGACCAAGGAATATTGTTTTTCAGGTTTTGACATTGGGAAGTGGAAATTCGTGGAAGGTGATTGAAAACAGTCATACTCAGTCTTGTCTGAGAAGCCAGATATGTATCAATGGTGTTTTGTACTATGAAGCTTATAATTACACTCACAGGTGTACGGATGGTGTAGTCATCAGTTTTGATGTCAGGTCTGAGAAATTTGATCTTATCAAAAGACCTGATATCCTTTCTAAGATTGGCAGTGATATAGACATGATAAGGTACGGAGGGAAGCTAGCTATCACGTCAAGAACGATTCCTCATTATGTTAGTAGTATTGTTTTGTGGGTTCTGGAGGATGCAGTGAAACATGAATGGTCGAAGAAGGTATTTGTTTTGCCTCCTTCGTGGACAAGTTTAACTCAGTTCAGATCATTTTACTATCATCGTTTGATTCATGTCACTGACGCGGGTGAGCTTCTTTTGGCACCGACTCTACTGGTTGATCCGGTTCGAGCACCATACTGTGTTCTCTATTGTGATCCAGAAAGAAATAGTGTGACAAGAGTTGAGATTAAAGGAATCACAAAGCAAAAGCTGCCACGTCTCAATTCTCTTTTCCAACTCTCCTCTACTCAGCTTGAGAGTCTCATGTTTCTCTAAGTTACATGTTCATAGTCTCATTTTTTATCTCTGGTTGCTTAGTGTTGCAGGTTTCTTTCTAATGATCTTTTCTAATTATTAAGTTTCTGAAATTTAGCATATAACTTTTTTAAACTCGAGTACCAGATTTTTATTGTTCATGTAGAAACCCAATTGAAGTTTAATTCGTCTAAAGAAGAATATGGTTCAATGGTTATTACAAAATTTAATGTCGCAGGTTTTTAAAGAGCATGCACGTACCTAGAAAATTGTGTTCGCATCACCACCACATGATCACTGAGTCTGGGATCATGAATGATGAACCATGCAAATAGTCTACACAATATCTCATGCAAATTTTTTAAAAAATCATATCTACGCCTACACAATATCTCATGCAAATTTAAGAAATAGGTTTCACATAATTAAGAAAGTGTTTTATGTTCGATGTTTGTTTTTCACAGGATATATAAATTACTATGTTCTATGTTTGTTTAAAAAACCTATTTCTTTAATTTGCAGGAGATATATTGTGTAGGCGTAGAAATAGGTTTCCCATAATTACACACATGAAAGGTTTAATTACATGAGATTCACAATTTCTAAGTTTTTAAAATTTAAGCAAGTGTAAAGTACTTAAACGTTGAAAATCTTAGAAATCTTTATTTGTGTACTTCTGTGAACTCATCGGTAGTTTTTTTGATGAAGATAAACGACATTGCCATAATAATCAATTCTATTTCTTATATAAATATAAGACAAGAAGCACGAAACTACGATACAAACCCCACTAATTAAAAACTAGAATCGAGTAAACCACACTACTAATAAGACATAATTGATAAAAGTAAAGCCATACATTCGTGCAAGGATTTATTCGTGAAATCGAAACAAACTTTATATAATGTTCATGGGTGGTTGTGGTGGCCGGGAAGTTTATCCTTAATCTTCTCGAGAATACCCTTCTTCTCATGTGGTTGATCAACGGCGGTTCCGGTGGTTGTTGTGGTGGTGGTGGTGGGTCCAGTGGTTGTGGCTGTGGTGGCTGTTTGTTCGTCCTTGTGCTTACCGCTACTAAACTTCTCTTTGATTTTCTCTTTTATACTCTTCTTCCTCCTCCCTCCTTGTCCATCGTCCTCCTATTTCAAGATTCACACACTCATTAGCTACAATTTGTTTACAAACAGTTGTATTTTCATTTCTTTTAAAACACTAAAGGTTAAAGAGTGGAATTATTTTTTTTTTTCAACACTGAAATAATGCAAAAAAAATCTGTCAGAATCTATGCATGAGAATCTCACCGAGCTAGAGCTGGATGAACTTCCGGATCGACGAAGGTGCTCTTCAAGCGAGCCATGGTGTTGCTGCCCTGCCGCAGTTGCACCGGTACCAGCAGTGACTCCTGCTGCTGTGGCTGCAGTTGCACCGGCGAGTCCTCCTGCTGCTGTTGCTGGAGCGGTGGTCACAGGTGGAAGCTCTGCAATGTCGGCAGTAACACTCTCTTTATAATGAGGAGTAGTGCTTGCGACCCCGGTTATGTGCATGGGGTTACCGAACTCATCAGTGAGCTGAACCGGGTTTCCATGTGCATCGGTTAGATGGATTGGGTTTCCACGTTCGTCCTTCAATTCCGCCATATAAACAATCCTTTTTTTTTCGTTATAAAGATTCACAAAATGTTTCTTAGAAAGACTACGTTTGCGGTCGAGCAAGTTTATATTTATATATATTATATTTATAAGATGTTCATCTGCATGGTTATGTGACGTGTTTAGTTTATGTGAAATGTTTTGCCACGCACGGATGAGAAAGGAGTACCACGCGTCACGCATGTGTGTGTGCTTTGATACGAATACGTCACGAGTCCGACATAATTAATAACGTTTTCTCTTTTTGATAATAGAGCGACGTTATCATCTATGGTGTTTTGTACGTTTATATAATATGGACAGATGTGAATTGGATCTGATCAAGAACGTGGAACCGCTAAAAAAGTATAATAATGTCGGTACCAAAAGGTTGGTGATGATTTCCAAAGAGCACATCAAACAAACGAACCTTATAATTGGATCACTATGCAATCTTTTTATTTAATCGTTCTTCATTGTCTCTTACTACAAATTTATTGTTCTTTTAAGTACTGCTATGATTGGTTTTCAACTGAAACATTTGTTTTTAAGTATTGTTCTTTTTAAGTATTTAACAGCATAATTTTGTGTAAACGTATATAATACGATTCCATGTCAAACACAAACTACAGAATTATATAAATCCATCGATCCAATCAATCACACCTCTTGGACAAAGCCAGATCAAAATTAACCTTATATTATTAAAATTATTGTATTTACAAGTGTGGAAATTTGAAATTGCACAACACAAGAAAAATGGACACAAAACAGATGTGACTTGTGATTTTGTTGAGACTTGTGAGATACTCTCTAACATAGACCCAAACAAATGTATACCTTTGATCAGTAGCGCTGCCCTAGCTTACGAAGCAAATTCTGGAACAAGATTCAAGAATCATAAGATTTAAAATATGGGTTTCTCACAGTGATCCTTGTAGAGAGCGAGAAAGAGATATGCTCACAGTTTTAAAGTTTCGTAGATTTAGTCCAGAAGAAGCCTTTCTTTCTTAAAGAGATCGCAGAGTGATTCTCTTTCGGGGATTTAAGACTTTTACTTCTGGACCCGAACGAGAAGTGTCGTGCAAGGAAAGGCTTTGGGGAATAGCTTCTCAAGCTTGAACTCGAAAGCAGCTTCGGGAGTTTACCTTTGTGTTCAGTACCGCTTGCTGCTGCTGCTGCTCCTGTTTTGCGGCTGTGATCAAACATGAAAAAGTCATCGCTGTCCACAACGCGGTTTCTTAGTCTCTTGTTTTGCTTAGCTCTCAATTCCAAATCCGCCCTTAATGCTTTCTCCGACAGCTTGAATGTTTTTTTCTCACCCAATGTGCAGATGGGACATGGAGGATCGAATTTGTCGATTTCAGGTGTCATCTGTTCCAAACACTCAGAATGATAGGCATGTCCACAAGCTAGAATCGCAGCTACAGAGAGCTCGTTAGTGGCAAAGATCTTTTGGCTACTCAACAGCGATTTCTGAGACAAGGATCTCGAGCAAGCACCACAGGTTTGCTGATCACTGGACTTTCGGTTTCCTTGATGGTCTATCTTGTCACGTCGAAGCCCTAAGCACTCGCTATCATAAGAGCAAGACTCTCTGCGGGAATACGCCATCATTTCTGAAAAGGCTTGCATGGACCAAGCATCAGACGGCCCAGAGTGAGATTCATTTCCCAGCCTCTCTTCGTTCGCTGAGCTTCTGCTTGGTGAGTTAAATCCAAAGACTTGACCATCAGAGACCTGCTTTGATAGACGATGGTGCGGTGTCAACTTCAGTGTCGATGAACTTGCAGGTGGCATCGGCAAGTGGCTCTGGTAAGATAGTGGTGACGTCGACAAGGACGATGGTTGAGAAGCCAATGAAAGAGACCGTTTTGCAGGAGATCGATAAGTAGCAGTGTTCTGGGTGATCTGCGAAAGTAAAACAGAGAGAGGGATACAATCATTGAATCATACATGGCAGAGATATGTAGATAGCAGTGAAGCGAGCTTTTTCTTTACCTGTTCAGAGACAGTGTCAATGGATGCAAATCTTGAAAAAGATTGATCTGCCACAACAATCATGGAAAAGTCAAGATGGATGGATGGTGGCCAATGAAAAGCAAACAATTTATATCAACAGACATATCAAATGTCTTGTCATGAACAGATTCTGTAGAAAAGTAGTTCCTAAGTTCCAAGCGGGGCACACTTTTTTGACAGATTAAAGAACAAAACTTTACTGCAGCAATCTAAAGTGGCTGAATGTATATACCGGAAGCAGGGGACTTTTGCCATGAGTGGGTCTGAAAATTGTTCAGAGGGGACCCTTCTGATGATACAAACGCAGATTCGGATTTGACATCAGAGCCATCGTTACGACTAATCCCATCAGACAACCAACTCAGAGAGGTGTCTTCACCTGCCACTCGTCCTCTGTTATCCCACCGGAAGCTCCAATTTGGTGAATACCTCACATTGTTTCTTTGCAGATTCTCGAATGCTGATGTATTAGGCACTACCACTTTCTCTCGAGAAGCAACACAACAAGCATTCCCCATAGCTACTAAGCACCTCTCCTCACAAAGACACAGTAGAACACCTCAAAACCTTTATAAAAAACAAATTTTCAGGAACTCAATGATGACTATAAGTCCTTGAAAACATGAAAGGAGGTTACTTTCACTCTCAACAACATCGATAGAGAGCTAACCATTCATACACACAAAACTGGCCAAGAGGAAAAAAGAAGGAAGTAGCAACCAGTAGGATTATAGGAACTAACAACAACTAAGGGCAAAATCAATATAAAGAGAGAATCAACTCGTTGGCCACTAATTTTAAGGTCAAGTGAACTTAAATCACTATCTTCACTAAGAAAAATCCAAAATCTTGAAGGACACCAAAAATAGCAATTGAATCGGGGATAAGTACATAGGTCACATAACTAACATCAAAACAGATCCGAGAATAGGGCCAAGTGAGTAACAAGCCAGGTTGAGATTACCCAAAATAGAAACAAAAACCCTAAATTCGGCACCTAACACAAAAATCTAAAAGAATCAAGTATTCGCAAACAATTTGAGCAGATGGGACGAGAGTTACGAACGCCGAACCTGCTCTCGGAATTCGGAATACGTCGCCGGAAAGATGAAACGAAGACGGTTTTACAGAGCGATGGATTTGTGGGAGTGAGAGAAGAAAACGAGTTATTAGCACTACGACGAAGCTTTGCTTTTGTTCCTTCTTTCCTAGGGAGAGAGAGAGAGAGAGGGAAAGAGACGAATACTACAAGTCTACAAGTCTTCTCTGACGGTTTTAATTAACGCCGTTATAATCGAATTGCGGTCTACTGTACTGGTTAAGGACACCCCAAAACCGTACCAAATTGAAAACATATTGGAGAATATAGTTTGATTGAAATTATTATCAAATTATTAAATACTAGAAATATTTCATTTCAGTTTCGATGTATATCAATCAAACTCACAAAATCGAATAATTCCATTAAATGTTAAGATTGGTTATATGTCAAGATTAGCAGATGAACCAGTTGGTTGGTCTTCGGTTTACAGAACTGGAGAAACATTGACGGTTTGACTTATTGCTCTCTGCCGACGTGACACCGTTAGTTTTAAGCGGAGTTAAGTGACGTCCGAAGGACGGTGCTACGTCTTGTTGAAAAGACAGAAACAAAAAAGGAAGGGGAGCGAATAATAATTGACCGTCAGAGTTTCACGAAGTGACGTCGTTAACTGGAAGGTTTATAACTATTAAAAACAAAGTTGGGGTCCCAATTGAAAACTTTATATTTTTGGAAGGACTAAAATAGGGAATCTAAAACTTCTTTGCATGTTAACAAGAAGACACGCGAAAATATCAAAGGGAATAAAAAACACGAAACAAACACGCCTCATTAAGAATCAAATAAAGAACACTATTTCTTCTGTTGGTGTTTAATCGAAGAGCTCTGAATAATTTCGAATGGTTATAATAAGTTCTGCTCAAATATCGATGAATCATCTACACAAACAAAAAATTTATCTTAGAAAACAATCTCTACAAAACTAGGGGAGTAGAAGAACAAATCCAATTTGAGCCAATAAAATAAAAAACATAAAAATGAAAACAGAGTCTCCCGATGACGGTGATCGGAGTTTCAAGACGTCGCCTTTGAAGAACCTCCGGTGTCTAGTTTCACGTTCACGGCGGCGGATTCGTGACGCAAGCTGCTTCCTCTGGTGTATGGCTTCTTAGCACCCTTAATAGAGAAACAGAGAGATTCATACATTTTAAAATACTGTAAAAAAATTATATATTTTGGCTCTCAAGATTCAAAGCAACAATCTTTAAGTTACGAACCCTTTTGTTTTTGCTCACCTGGAAGATCATTCCAAGTTTCCTCAGTCCTGTGGCTCGAGCCCGAAGAACATCCTTGGAAACACTTGGATCTTTAAGCACCTGTGAGAGAGAGAGACAAGATCTGTTAACAACAACATTACTTAACTATTACAACAAAAATGGTTAGTGTCTTACAGATTGGCAGACATGAGACAGAGTGGATTCGATGTCGAGAACATTGATTTGCCAAAGAGATTGAAGCAAAGCATCCATTTTAGCTTCAATGGCTTTCTGAATATGCTCCTCTTTGTTCTCTCCTTGGTGTTCATTCAGCTTGTTCACTTCATCCTGCAACTGAAGTAACGAAACCGCACCTACAGAAACAAAACCATCCAAAGTAAAGTATTGCTTTTTCGGTTAGATTTTTGAGTTTTCTTTTGTGTTTCGTTTACCAGAAGCAGCCATCACTTGAGATTTCATATGGTGGCCTTTGTCACGCACCCACTCCGCTAAGAAGGGCACTTTCATAAATCGTTTGTCTTTCCCTATTTCTTTAGCGGCTTTTCTTGTGTAAATGTAGCCAATCGTATGCATCATCGCCTCACCGAAACCTGAAACAGTTCAAAGCTTCAGTTTATATGAAGTTTGCACCTTTCTTGTCTTTTATAGGAGCCAAAAGAGACGAGTTCTTGTACCAGCAGAGGAAAGCCGCTTTGCCTCTTCGTTTGCCCATTCGATAAATTCGTCGCTTCGTCCTTCCACAAATGGTTCGAGTTTGTTTTTCAATGTAGCAGCGAGCTTGTCTTCCCTCTCCTTCTGCAGAGCCTGCACACATTTTCACACATTTATATATACACATAGAGAAAAGTAGTACTTTGAGATCTTGCGAGGAAAAAAAGCAAATGTACTTTGATCTTTTCTTGAAGCATTTGCTTTCTGATGTCAGGCTCATATGATTCTAAATCTGCTTCGATTGACGCCAAGTAAGCAAGCGCAAGCTGCCCAACGTATTCTTCAAAGACTTCGCTTCCGAAAAGCATACCAAACACAGCTGCAGGATCAACCATTGCATCCCTTGAAAAATCAAAAATTTTAAAACAGATTCAATCATAAAACATTCTCAGATGAACAAAACGTTAGATATGCAACAAAGAGACCCAAGACTTACTGTTGAACACCGTCTTTGCCATATCTGTCATAAGCTGCTCGCTTCTCCGGATTGCTCAAAACCTGATAAGCCTCGCCTAATACCTTTCATTACAAAGGATATCATCATCAGAACTTTGGTGATCAAACACACAAGAAACAGTAGCAATGTGACAAAACAAAACACGTTATCATAATCTCTTGTTTCACCTGAAAGTTTTTAGCAGCTTGAGGATCTCCAGGGTTCTTGTCTGGATGAACTTTCCTTGCCTGAATGAGATAGAATCAAACCATAAAGGAGAGGTCTTGGACACTTTGCTCAGTCTACAAAAGATGATGACTTACTTTTAAGTAGTAAGCCTTTTTAATCTCAGCTTCTGAAGCATCAGTTTTGACGCCTAAGATCTCATAATACTCAACCTCCTTCACCATACCTTGTGAAAAAACAAAACACAAACTTGTATATTTGATCCAAATAAATAAGAACACGCGTGGAGTAGAGATATATCATCAAAATGTAAATGCGGAAACGTTTATGGTTTATTATTTTCCCATTTCTCTTGTGACGCAAAAAACAAAAAACAAAAAGATCATCGAAATTCCAGATCTTATAAAAAAACCCAGAATGAGGGATCAATTCCAGAGTCGCAACTCGCGAGATGATGAATCTAGACATAAGAACAGAGAGGAAGGCATGATGAACTTACTGGTCGTGCAGATGTGTAAATGAGGGCACAAAATCGATTTCTAGGTGGCGAATTGCTAAATAATTTGGGTAATCTTATACGACGAGTGAGAGAGAGAGAATATACAACGATGCAACAAACAAAAAAAAAGGGAAGGCTTTTACGCTGTTTCCTTGTAAAGAAAAGGACAAGCTTTTCGGTTACGAAGGAATTCGAAACGTGTGACCGTGTCCGTATCTTTATCGTACACGTGTCTGAGAATGTTCCCACTGAACCGTGTTTTTCAAAACACTGTTTTGGGGCTTCTGGCTTTCTTAGCCGTAGATATAAACGTAATTTTTTTATAAAGTAACCCAAATTAAATTTAAATCACTCACTGAATAAATTTGAATTCACTAAATTTAATGTTAATTACTTGATCAGCTTCAGTCAACATTTATGAAGTGGGCTTCCTTGGGCCAGACACGAAAACAGAGAAGTGTTGAAAAATTGGCCCAAAATAAAAAATAGAAGAAGAAAATTGGCCCAAATTAAATTTAAATAACTCACCAAATTTAAATTCATTAAATTTAATGTTAATCAGATATGTCTTGGCTCATCAGCTTCAGTCAACATTTTCGAAGTGGGCTTCCTTGGGCCAGACATGAAACAGAGATCTATTGGAAAACTGGCCCAAAAGAAAAATATGAGAACGAATCTCAGACCCAACCCAAGAAAAGGTTCGTATTCGTTTTTCAACTTTTCTTGTTTGTATTTTGAAGAAAAGTGAGAGTTATTATTGTATATCAGTGATATTTAGGATTTATCAAGACAAGATTTGGTTTCTAACCTTTGAATTTAATATATTTATCTTCGCTGTAAATTTATACTATCATCTTCGTAGTGTTCTTTTGAAATTTTCTTAGTATTTCAGTATTGATTAAAGAAATAATGGTCTTTTTGTTGAAAATTGCAATGATTGATTTAAATTCTAGCAGACAGTACTGACCAATCATTAACCGGCTGATTATTGCATCATCATAGTACTTGGCACAAGACTTTTTTAAAAGTCAATATATTGTTGGATCAATTAGTGAACCTTTTTTTTTTGTCAACCCAATTAATGAACCTTCTAATTTTGTTGTTGTTTTAAACTCATTTTTTCTTGATGACTTGTAGAAAATAAATGGATATTATTCGTGAAAGTAAGCAATTAAATAATAAATACCCAACTGCAATGGGAAACTGGGAAAGCCTAACGACCGTTGACCTTTCCTTTAATTGCTCCGTATTTACTTGAAAATTGGAAAATTCTCTGAGATCAATCCTCCGCTATCTGCCACGTATTGTAAGGGTCCCACGGTATGGGTTAACGAGAAAAAATTCACTTTGGCCCCCTTATTATTGAAGATTTCACATTTTCCTGCACACCATCTTCTAATTGTCAATGCGAACCAATCTATACTAAAATCAAATAAATTTTCGCATAGTTTTCTAATAATAACAAATGACATATTATAATTTGATGATGGACAACAGGAAAATTAAGAAAATGGGTTTCTATATTCAATATTATACGCTCAGCATTAGCTTGAAATTCTCTTTCTGTGTTGAAAAAAAATCCAAATTAAAATTTTGGAATGATTCCAATTGATCCAAATTAAGTGGGGTCATAGTGCAAAGAATCTATTTTCTCCATCCCCCCTATTTTGTCGTCGTTTTGTCGGCGAATTATTATTTTAAATTATTTATAAATCTTTTTCTTGTGCAGGTTTACAGGTCTATTGTCCGTAGATCCGTTAAACTTTTACCTACGGCCATTAATGACCGTCAGATCTTCCTCGGTTGATGATGACAAAAGCAAGTATCTCTGCACTTTCTCCTGTTTTATATATTTGTCCAAATACACCCCAACATTATGTCCATTTCTATATTTGAACTACAGTTTGTTTTTGTGACATAATTTACCCAATTTCTATATAAATGATTAGCTGAAAAAGTTAAAAACCAACAACGAAAGGTAAAAAAGAATGAAATCTTATAATTTTAAAACAACATTATGATATTTTAAATTATTTGGAAATTTAAAAAATTATTTCTACAAATATAAATATATTCACAAAATTCCACCGTCAATTTGGGGTAGATTGAAAGACAAAAAAAGTGTGGGGCTCACAATGAAACAACGAATGTTACAGTTGGGTATTAATTGGAAATAACGGGCAAATACAACATAAAAAAATATAATGTATTAAAAAATCAAAGTAGAGGCATTTTAGGTGAGGAGAAACTGAGAAAGTCCTTAGTTCGTTCCGAATTCTACTCCACTTTTGCCTCTCAATTTTATTTTTTTCTCCCTCGTTAATTTTTTTTTTTTAGCGATTTTTCTGCGGCTTCTTGTTAATATGAGAAGTAGATAGATTCGCTGGAAAAAAGGTTTTTTTTTTTTGCTGGTGCATTGATTCGTAATCCAGCCATCTTCTCGAAGATTTGGGAGAGATCAAAGGAATCAGAAGTTTTGTCGGTTTATTAAAGCCGAAGGAAATTAATATGTCAGGTCCACTTGATCGATTTGCTAGACCATGTAAGAGATCTGATCTGTGTTGTTTCCGTTTATTTTTTGGATCATTCTTGGTTTTTCTCTGGGAAAGTTTGTTTTTTTAGGGTTTAACTGTAGCGTCGAAATTTGAGGTTTGATAATGATAATGGGAATCGAAGTTGTCGATAAAGTTCGTGTCTTTTGCTTTGTAAATTCACTCATCTGCTAAAAGTTTAGGTTTTTTTTAGGCTGGAGCTGTAGCTGTTGCTTTTCTTCAATTTTGGTTTCGTTGAGCTAATGCAAAATCGAAAATTTAATGGGTTTTCGTAAAATCCAACAGGTTTCACTACAGGTTTTGAGGGAATCATGAGCAGTGATGAGAAAAAGGAGCGAAAGTCAGACTTTGAGAATTCCGAGGACGAGAGGAGAACCAGGATCGGTTCTTTGAAGAAGAAAGCCATTAACGCGTCTACAAAGTTCAAGCACTCTCTCAAGAAGAAGAGCGGAAGGAGAAAAAGCGATGGCCGAGTGAGTTCTGTCTCCATCGAGGACGTGCGTGACGTCGAGGAGCTGCAGGCCGTCGACGCGTTTCGACAAGCGCTGTTAATGGACGAGCTGCTTCCCACTAGGCACGATGACTACCACATGATGTTGAGGTTCTTGAAGGCGAGGAAGTTTGACATCGAGAGAGCAAAGCACATGTGGGCTGATATGATCCAGTGGAGGAAAGAATTTGGCACTGACACTATTATTCAGGTGTGTGCGCTACTTGTAACATCCTTTAGATAGTGTTAGCCACACTTGTTTCAGATCAACAAGTATGTGTGTTCTTGTTTAACTTCTTCTTACTTGGTCCGTCTCAACAGGATTTTGATTTCGAAGAGATTAACGAAGTTTTGAAATACTACCCACACGGATATCACGGTGTTGACAAAGAAGGCAGGCCTATCTACATTGAAAGGCTGGGGAAAGTTGATCCTAACAGACTCATGCAGGTTACAAACATGGACCGATATGTAAGATATCATGTTAAGGAGTTTGAGAGGAGCTTTATGATCAAGTTTCCTTCCTGCACTATTGCTGCAAAGAAGCATATTGATTCCAACACAACTATTCTAGATGTCCAGGGAGTGGTAATTTCCTGCAGTTTTTTCTCGATGTCATTATATTTTTTCTATTCAAAATGAGTTTTGGTCTCATGCCTTTTTTGTGTTTCGTATAATTTTGATACTCAGGGATTGAAAAACTTCACCAAGTCAGCTCGAGAGCTTATTACACGATTACAAAAGATTGATGGAGACAATTATCCTGAGGTAATAATATCTTTAGTTGGAGCTTCTAACACTTGTAAACTCCTCTGTGTCTGCGGCGTCAGGGTAATGTATTAAAGGATTCTTTTATCATATGCTAATCTCGTCTCTGTGTTCATTTATGCAGACTCTCCACCAAATGTTTATTATCAATGCAGGGCCTGGATTTAGGCTGCTCTGGAGCACTGTTAAGAGCTTTCTAGACCCAAAAACATCTTCTAAGATTCATGTATGATAACCTTTATTATCTGGTTAGATCTCTATTCAAAGAGTTGTTTTTTTTCATAATATGGTTTTCAATCTGGACTATTCCATTGTAATGTAGGTTCTCGGATACAAGTATCAGAGCAAATTGCTTGAAGTCATTGATGTCAAGTACGTGGAACATTAACTCTCTGATACCTTTTTACTCTCTGGATTTTTGTGTTTAAGTCTTCTACGGCGGTTTGTTTGCTTATGTACAAAACTGTCTCCATTTTTTTTAACAGCGAGTTGCCTGAGTTCTTGGGAGGTGCGTGTACTTGCGCTGATCAAGGTGGTTGCTTGCTTTCTGACAAGGGACCTTGGAAAAACCCGGAAATTGTAAAGGTCATATACTTTGACTCGATCTTTTTTTGTTTTGTTTATTACATGGTACCCAGTTCTGAAGCTGACACAAGTGTTTTATCTTCACTTTTTTTCTTCTTCAGATGGTGCTTCATGGAGGAGCACATCGGGCAAAGCAGGTGGTGAAAGTTTTGAACAGCGAGGGGAAAGTCATTGCTTACGCAAAACCATCATACCAATGGGTATGTACTTACTTAATAATCCTAAAACTATTCAATCGTTTTACTTGTAGCCGAGTGTCCTAAACTCTGATTCTGTCATAAATACAGATAAAGGGAAGTGACACTTCCACTGCAGAGTCAGGGTCTGATGCCGAAGATATCGGTTCTCCAAAGGCTATAAAGAGTTTCTCTCATCTCCGGTTGACACCTGTTCGTGAAGAGGTAAAAACTTTTGTTTTTATTAGTGTGTTACACTTCAGATTCTGGATTGTGCAGAAGTTTTATCACAGGCTGTTAGTAGATTCCTGTGGTAAAAATGTGAGGTGCTTATAGTATCTACTCGTGAGAGTTTGCAGGCAAAGATAGCTGGTGAAACGAGCTTGGCGGGTAGCTTTCCGGGCTATGATGAGTATGTGCCAATGGTTGACAAAGCCGTCGATGCAACCTGGAAGGTGAAACCTGCTCTCCAGAGAGTCGCCTCAAAAGGTTAGTTATCTGCTTTACGTAGAAGAAGTAGGCTTCGGTTTGAAATCGGTTTTAGCACCAAATACTGGAGGAAATCGGATTTCTCTTCTTATTAGGATTGTTTTTGAGTTGGCATATATATACAGTACGTGGAAAAACAGAGGATTGTAGGATTTTCTTGTTTGGTGAAGTTAATCTATCGATCTGTCTCCTTTCAGGGGCTTTAATGCCTGCCACCGTTCCAAAGGAACCTGAAGGCATTCGAGCTCGAGCCCTCATAGTGTTCATGGCATTCGTGGTGGCGGTTTTCACATTCTTGCGCACAGTATCTTTCCGTGTGGTGAAGAAACTCGCAGCTCCCCAACCACAAATCGAAGGAAACGCAACAGAAGTCGGAGTGCAAGAGGAGCTTCGTCTTCCTTCTTCGGTACCGGATCTCGCAGAAACGGAGCTCATGAATTCTGTGATGAAGAAACTAACCGAGCTTGAGGGTAAAATCGGGACTCTACAATCGAAGCCGTGTGAGATGCCTTACGAGAAAGAAGAACTGCTAAACGCCGCCGTTTGCAGAGTAGACGCACTTGAAGCAGAGCTCATAGCTACGAAGAAGGCGCTTTACGAAGCTCTCATGAGACAAGAAGAGTTGCTTGCTTACATTGATCGTCAAGAAGAAGCTCAATTCCAGAAGATGAAGAAGAAGAAGAAGAAGCATCTCTTTTGCTTTTGAAAAGGCAAATCCATTGCTTCTGCAGGTTTCTTAATTTGCAAGTTCAACAAAAAAAACCAAAAACTCGTTATCTGATATGATGTTTAAAGCTAATACAGAGAAGCGCCACGGCGTTATATGTATGTTTATTTTATAGCCATATGAAATTTGTAAACTTGTTAATCCGAAACCAAAAAAAAATATTGAAATTATTTATCAAGGTTCTGTCTTTTTCTTAAAAATAATATCAGTATAGTCTGATTATGTCTTAATGCTGTCACAAAAGTTTTCTTTCTGTTTCCTTTTTAAGATCAATTAAAAACTCAGAAATTCGTTCTTTTTATTAAAAATAAATACTCAGTTATCAGGATTTTGTTATCCAGATGAATGATATGGTGGCCACAGATTCATATCGTGTGATTATCTCCTAATAAAGTCTTAAATACTTTTTCATTTTGTCTTTTGTTTTTTATTTTCTGGGGAAGATCATTTCTTTCTTCTTTGTTTATGAGCTTTAGGAAGATATGGAGATAACAATATCTCAGTTGTGCTCTCGGGTTAAGCTCTCAGTCTCTTCTTCGTCATCATCTTCACTGATCTGCTTAAATGGAAACAGTAAGAGGAACCTAAATGGAGCTGTTTCAGTCAATTTCTTGAAAAAGATTGAGCAGTTCAGTAATGTTAGCTTCTTCACCACGAATAAGAAACACAAAAGTCACGCGCCGGTAGTTACAGCAACACGCGCTTCCGTGGATGAGAATCAATCCCCAACTTCCGGTGCCGGAGGAGAACGGTGGCTTCTCCAACCAGTTGGTAGAGCAAAAGCAGCTACAAAAATTTCAAATTTTTTTAAAACAGAAAATCATTTGAGTCTATGTTTTGATTCACCATATTGTGTAATCTTTACAGGAGATGGAGACACAAGACACATTGGTTACAAAGTTGAAATGCCTGCTCCTTTCGAGATCTCTTCCGTAAGAAACTATACAAACCCAAAAAAGATAGTTAAGACTCTTTATTTTGTTATAAAATGATTTTGATGGGTTCTCTTGAAAAAAATGGTTTTTTGAGGAGCAGGGCCAAGTTACCGTCGGACGGCTACCGGAAAAAGCTGACGTAGTGATTCCTGTGGCCACCGGTATTCTAAACTGAGTTTGGTTTAGTTCTGCTAAGTCCGGTTTAAACATATTGACTAATTTTTTGCAAACGCAGTTTCGGGAGTACATGCAACAATAGATACAAAAGGAGACAACCTTCTTGTGACGGATATGAACAGCACGAACGGTACATTCATTGAAGACAAACGTCTGATTCCTGGTGTTGCAGCTCCTGCTTTTCCCGGAACACGAATCACATTTGGTATATGTATCATCTTGGTTTGTTTTCATCGATATGAAGATAAATAGATCGTTGAGACTCATAACTCTTTTATGATTTGCATGCAGGAGACACAAATCTAGCAATCTTCCGAGTTTTCAAGCTCCAAGATAGTAAAGATTCCTCAGAGAAATCGTCTGCAGAGTAACAAATTCTGCTTCTGTTTTTGCAGAAAATACCCACTTGTTCTACAGCATTGTTGAGCTATGGGTACATATATATATATAGATTTATTATATATTGAACACATTTATATGTTTTTGTTTTAGTATGTTACAAATTAGAGGTGAAAGAATTATGCATGGTAAACATAAGCTTTCAGGTTTTTTCACAGGCAAACAACAAAACATTTACAGAAAGCATATCTTCACATTATAATCTTTAAAACTCTTCATGAATATATTTATGATTATATATATATATGGAATTTGTATATTTTCCAGGTTTCTTCATAGTCTTGAGGTATCATCAAGTCTTTCAGAATCCAAAGAACTGAAAACAAAAACAAACAGAAATATAAGATACATGTAACTCTCAATAATCTTTTAAGAATAGTGTGTTAAAAATGTGTTTTTACCTTCTTTTTCTTCTTCTTCTTCTCGATGTAATCCACTATCTCTTGCTGCCTAGCCATGGCTTCGTCCAGCGTCTGGTATTTGCAACAATATACATGTTCTAAGTAACTAAATTTTAAGCTGTTATGATTTACAAGTATAAGAGCCTGGTTACCTTCTTGGTCTGAGACAGCTGAAGCTCAAGCTCGTCCACTCGGCTAAGAGCGGCGGTGAGAATCTGTTCCTTCTCCGGAGAAAACGCCGCCGGCTGATTGTCCAACGACCTACACTTCTCCTCCAGTTCCGACATTCTCTTCACCATCGACATATACTCTTGGCTCGACACCATCGCCTTCTCTCCTTTCTCAGCTTCGGCCCCGTACATCGCTGCCTCAGTGATCTTCCTCGGCATGTTCCTTGTTAACCTCACCACCGTCACTAACCCCATAACCAAAGACATCACGCCGCCGAATAAATAACCTTCTCCTCCTTTCCTCTCTGACGGCTTCACGGCAGAGTATAAATCTGCGCCGGCAAAAACACATACATGCAATGACTAATATTACTAGATGATCAGTGTAGTGACAATAAAATAACAAAATCACATTTTAGCAAAAATGGTATAGAATCAGTGTTTCTGTGTAGTGTAACCTTCAGGCTCAGGAAAGTTTGTCTTGTGGAAATTTGTAGGCCAAGGAGAAGCATCCACAGTCTTGTCAACCATAGGTGTGAATTTCTCGTTCCCTGCATCGAATTTGTTCTTCTGCAGATTCGAATTTAAACCAGTCAAACAGAAGATCTAGAGAGAGAGAGAGAGAGAGAGAGAGAGAGAGAGAGAGAGAGAGAGAGAGAGAGGGAAAGAAGTAAACTTTTGCAGACAAAGAAAGAAACTCACCGCAAAGGAATCGCATTTCTTCAAGTTGTTGTTTCAAGCAAAAGAGATAAAACAGAGAACGTTTAGATTTTACCATGAATGTGAAAGATTAAGAATTGATTGTGTTTAGTTTTTACGTTTGGTGTGTTCTCATACACAGAGATTGTCTTCTCTTCAATATTCGACAATGTCTTCCTTGGGCACTTTCCTTCTCCGTTCTGAACCATCTGTATACATATAGTTTAAGATGCTGTTGTTCAGAAATGGTTTCGTTAACGGTATTTTCAAAGATTCTCTGTTATCTTAAAGTACCTTGAAGATGTCAGGGTCGTTCCATGGACCTTTGTCTGAACGCATACATCCACCTTTGTCTGCACAAGTGCAGTTACCACCCAAGAACTCAGGAAGTTCACTAAACACACACAAAACCAGAAAGTTTTAGGATTTATGAATTTGTGGCTAAAATGCAGAGATATGGAGTTTTTTTCGTTCTCTTACTTGCAGTCAATAATCTCAAGCAGTTTGCTCTGGTATTTGTTGCCAAGAACCTGTACATGAGGAACACGAGCTTTCCGGTTTCATCGTAGACCTTAAAGTTTGAATCTTTTGAAGTAACAAAAACGAAAAAAAATAGCTTACGTGAATCTTCGCGGTGGTCTTCGGGTCAAGGAAAGATTTAACAGTGCTCCACAGAAGCCTGAAGCCAGAACCAGCGTTGATAATGAACATACGGTTCAACGTCTATACGATCCATAAACATAGAAACAATCTCATTATTTTCTTGAGTTAATAGCGATAACAAACTTGGTTTAAAACCATTAGAAACTTCATAGTTACCTCAGGGTAGTTATCACTATCAATCTTCTGGATACGCTGAAGAAGATCCCTTGCAGCCTTACTGAAGTTCTTCAGCCCCTGTAAATCCAAAAGTATAATCACTCACTCACTATACGTTTTTCTTTTATTTGAAATACCGAGACAAACAGTGGTAGAGACTATAAAATGCATACCACGCCTTGCACATCCAAGATCGTGGTGCTCTGATCAATGTGCTTCTTGGCAGCAATGGAGCAAGCAGGTAATTTGATATTGAAAGTCTTCTCAAACTCCCTCACATGGTACTTGACGTACCTATCGATCGTAGTGACTTGCATCAGCTTTGTGGCATCCACTTGGCCTAGCCTCTCAATGTAAACAGGCCTTCCGTCTTTGTCAACGCCATGGTAACCCTGAGGATAGTACTTGAGGACTTCGTCTATTTCCTTGAAATCAAAGTCCTTTGAAAGAAAGCAAGAGACATAGTTTAATTAAGGAGAGATAAAGAAGATGATGTTGAAAATATCTGATTTCTGTTTTTTTTTACCTCCATGATTGTGTCAGCACCAAACTCTTTCCTCCAATTGATCATGTCAGTCCACATTTGCTTTGCTTTCTCGATATCAAACTTCCTTGCCCTCAGAAACCTCAGCATCGTGTGGTGATCATCGTGTTTCGATGGAAGAATCTCGTCTAAGATTAGAGCCTGACGGAAAGCGTCGACAGCTTGAAGCTCCTCAACATCGATGTCGTCAACGATCGAGACAGACATCACTCGGCTGTTCCTTCGAGTTCTCTTGGTGAAAGAGTGTTTAAATTTGTTCGAGGCATTGATGGCTTTCTTCTTCAGAGTACACATCTTTGTCTTCTTGTCATCCTCTGAGCATTCATATTCTACAAAAAAAAACCAAAAATTTCAGAATCTTTGCTCTACTGCAGAAAGAGCTTCATAAATAATTGTCTTGAACAAAATTTCTTCCGTACCTAGCTTATTATGTCGATCCATATGAGCAGACATCGTTTCCGCCATGTTTAAGGTTCTGTTGTCACATACACAGACATAAATAACGGTTATAATGATCTCTGAAACAGTAAGAAATCAACAGAAAACAGCAGAATCCAATGTATTGAATCTAGAGAGTAGTCCAATTGAAAGCAATGTTACGGTTCCTTGGCTAACAATCAAGCGATGAAAGAAGAAACAAAGAAACCCATTTAGGCATTTGATCAAACAGCTTTTATGCATAAACAGCATATATATAATCAACGATCGTTACGACAATTTCTGGCAGCTAAAACGTAGATTCGAAATCATCTGAAACAATCAAATGCATCAGGAAAAATAGAATCAAACCCACATTTTTTTAATATCAGAAACAGAAACAGGTAATTATCACGGAGGTTGGAAACAATCGGAATATTCAAACATTTAGCGATTTAGGTAAGTGAAAACAAATGAGGGAAATGAAGGAGAAGAGAAGAAATGTAAGATCGTTCTTGATTATTTTTTCTTCTTTACCTATTGAGGATCAAAACCTAAGGAAAGAAGAAGAAGAAAGAAAGAGAGAAGATGTATATAATCTATTCTCTCTCTCTTACCCCCAAATAAAGGATGGCTCAATATATACAACGCTAAATCTCAGAGGACAAATCTAAAAGACAGAGAGAGAGAGAAAATAGCTTATTTCAGCACAAGGGTATTGACAAAGGTTTTACCTTTTTTTCAGAGAGAGAGAGAGAGAGAGAGAGAGAGAGAGAGAGAGAGAGTTAGCTTAATCCATTAAAAGGAGATTTTCGAAAAGGTTTGACCTTTTTTCTTATGAATTGAATTTATATGTGATTTCTCAGAGACAGAGAAGAGAGAGAGAAGAAGCCATTTTTATAGGAGGAGAAAGAAGCCGTTTTTCTGGTGAGAATGGAAGAGCTTTACGAATTACGAGCATTCGAAAATATCTTTTTAACAAACTCGTCAAACAGAGCAACCAATCAAAGTTGCCCTTTTTTTATAAAGGTTGTTGATTTTTGATTCTTAATTTTCCTATTAATTAATTGTACACACGTTACTATTTCACACTACACATTTCTCAATCATAAATTTAGAACTAATAGTTGTGATACTCACTTAATTAGTCCAAATTGTAATGTAGTGTATTGTTTATTAATTTTAATTGATACTGTCATCTGTTGTAATACTCACTTAATTAGTCCAACACACTTGATTTGTAAAATTGATTTTTCTAAAAAGTATTTTTTTATTATTTGATAATTAACTGTAAATGAGAAAATAGCCATATTTCTAATTTCATACATATAATTGAATTTACTCTTTGACAATGATAAAATCATCCTTTAAATAATAAAATAACATTTTTTAAAAAGCATCTTTCAAATAATGTAGGAGGGATAAAAATAATAATATATATAATCATAAATTTATTATCTTTTTAACTATAGACAAATAAATAATGATAAGGAGGAGCTGGTTTTCTTACTTTGAAAATTGTTAAATGAATTTTCTATTTCCGACAATATAATTATGAACGGCATGCATGGCTTTGGCTTTCCCCAGTTAATAAAGCAAATTGATAAAACTAAACAGTTATCATTTATTTCTTTTCATTTCTTCTATCTAACCCGTTATATATATCATTTATTTCTTCCAGCTAAATACAATAAAACTGTATTTAAAACTTAATATATGGACCGACCGACCATCATGAATGAACACAAGCTTCCAGCTCCCATATTAAGTGACTTTATAATATACACATTAATGATGAAGACTATTATAAAATAAAAAAAATAAAAAAGCACCATTGCTGTCAAATAATACTACTTTTATATATACTTCTCAAGTTTGCAAACAAATAAATTCTACAACAAGAAAAATTGACCTTGATAAAAAAAAGCAGGCCAACCACTGTTAATTATGTGTTTTTAATCCACTTAAACAAAATTAATCTCACACATTATGCATCTATACATGTAGTTTTAACGGTTAACTAAAGTTTGGGCCTAAAATGGACCGATGTTTCACGGGCTCACACTTTTTAAATAATATAGTAAATGATATTAGTGGGCCCAATTTTGATCTTCCTTTTATTGCAAAAAAAAACTTCGTTTTAAGTGAATTAATGTTATTTTGTTCTTATATGCAAATATTTAGTCTTGTGTCCTAAAATTTTCATTTGACCCTTTGATATATTTTAGTGATTTTCCATTAATATATTTAACAAATATACTATACAAAATGTTTTTGACTAACATCTACTTTGGAACAATAATTACCTAATTAGCTCTTCATTAATTAAAAGTAAGTTATTAGCATGGAATATATGTTTCAGATGATGAGAAGCTAGAGATTTTTAACCAAAAAAAGTGTGAGAACATGTGCTCAGTTTTCATAGTGAGAGCTCCTCTTGTTATTCATAAACCATCATAATATATTATGAATCAAAAACTTCTGTATCGATTGATTCTCTTATTTTATTAAAATGTATGAATGGACAAATATCTATGAGAAGTCATATCGTAGGCAACAATATGAAATAAATACAAACATGAAAACAAGAAAAAGTGGGATTAAAAAAATAGATTTTAAAATGCTGTGCAATTAAAGTACGAAATATTATACGGAATAAATGCAGTTAATGTTAAAAAGTGGTTTATGATAAAATTTGAATGGTAACAATTATAATTGTGGACATAATAATTTTTTTTAAAACGTTAACTATTTAATTACAATATTTTACATAAAATAAATGATTTTTTATCAAATAAATGATACAGTTTGAATAGTAATATTTATACTAATTTTTATCTACTGCGTATGTTAGTTGATGTTTGCTTTTTTTTTAACAGAAAAACAAATTGTAAGTTTTACTTACTGTCACTCTTTATGGTTGGACATACGGAGACATTTTTGCTAGCTAAACCCTTAGGCACAATGTCATTTTTATATCCCACAATGGCATGTATTGTCACCAGGCCTTTGAAGCCCTCTTCTGTTATCCGCATGCATGTGCATTCATAGACTAGAGAAGCATCCATACCGAAGGGAACCGCTGTGTTTTCAATATCCCAAAACAGTTGATATCACTTCGACTTCAGCAGGAGAAGTCTTTCCTTTACTCTTCTTTGGTGCTACTGTTGATCTCCTTTCGATTATTTTTTTTTCGCCTCATTAGATGATTTTATCTATTTTGAAAAAAATATGGGGTTTTCTCACTAACCAGAAACAATGATCTAAGCGAAACAAACAATTTATGGACCGACCGACCATCATGAATGAACATAAGCTTCCAGCTCTCATATTAATTGACTTTATAATATACACATAAATGATGAAGACTATTCCAAAATAAAAATTAAAAAAGCAACATTGCTGTCAAATAATACTGCTTGTATAATATACTTCTCAAGTTTGCAAACAAATAAATTCTACAATAAGAAAAATTAACCTTGATAAAAAAAAGCAGGCCAACCACTGTAAATTATGTGTTTTTAATTCACTTAAACAAAGCTAATCTCACGTTTCAACGGTTAACTAATGTCTGGGCCTCAAAATAGACCGACCTTTCACGAGATCACACTTTTTAAATAAATGATAAATGACACTAATGGGCCCAATTCAGGCCCTTATTTTTAATTTATGGCTGCTTCTTCTCGTAAAATCGCCTTCTTCATTTTCCGTGGCCGCTTCTGCTCGTAAAATCGCATTCTCTCTTCCGGGGACTGCGTTTGCGGCTCCGATCATCAACACGAGAGAATCCCCGGAAAATCCCTGAGATTCCGACTCCGATCATAATGGATTTTCATGATAGGTGAGAAACCTTTAACCTCCAGGAATTTAATTAAAATTTTGAATTTTCTTTTTGCGCCTTTTTTACTCCGTCAATTTTTTATATATATAAATATGCTTTGCGATCTCACCTTGAGCTAATTCCACATGGTAGTGATGACTCCATGAACGAAGTTGCAGTTTATCGCTAATAATAGTTTATAAATCAAAAAGTAATTAATATTTGAGAGTAAACAAGTTTTGCGTCTTACATTTAATCAAAGAGTTGACTTGCAAAGTTTTCGAGGAAGGTCCCATTGTTCAGAGAATGTTGCTTCTCCTTCAAGTTGTTTTAAATATATAGATACAAGCTTCCACATTGGTTAGGCTAAATTAGATAGATTTTGATCTCCCTGTGCGTTGACTTTTCAAGTTTTATCCCTCGATTCCAGATTTCTAATCTTATTACAGGATCTTTGATCAATCTTGCTAGATTCCATTCTCATTCCACCGAAGTTGTGTCTTTTGTTAACTTCAAGTTCATTTTGGATCCTTGTTTGATTCAAGTCTCAGGAAATGGCTAGTGGTGAAGCAACGTGTAACAATGGCCAAAGCACAGTTTCAGTTGCTAAGAGGAGTTATCAGGTGGTCATAGCAGCGACGAGAGACATGGGTCTTGGCATGGATATGAAACTTCCATGGGATCTACCAAAAGAATATCAGTTTTTCCAGGATGTAACAACGAAGACGACCGATCCCAGGAAGAGGAATGCGACTATAATGGGAAGAAAGTCATGGGAATCTACTCCTCTCGACATTCGTCCCCTTCCTGGTCGGCTCAACGTTGTTCTGACAAAATCATCTAGCCGTCCCGACATCGCCACTGATGAGAATGTGTTGGTGTGTAGTAGCATGGAGTCGGCTCTTGAACTCTTAGCCACCAAGCCCTACTCCTTGTCCATCGAGAAGGTCTTTGTCATAGGAGGCGGCGAGTTGTTAAGGTTAGCATTATCTGTTTCTGTTTCCATGTCAAAGTTTGAGACTTTATGTATGGTTTGAAGTTTAGCCTGTGAATGAGAGGAAAGATTGGTTTAGTCAAGATTTCATCTCGTTATTGCTGATAATTTATGTGCAGGCATTATATGAATGCACCAAGCTGTGATGCTATACATCTAACCGAGATTGATATAAGCGTGCCATGCGATGCGTTTGCACCGAAGGTTGATACTTCTCTGTACCGTCCATGGTACTCATCGTTTCCAAATGTGGAAAATGGAATACGGTATAGCTTCAACACTTACGTCCGAAGAAAGAACCCTCCCATTGTTGAGACAGAGGAGCAGTACTCGTTCTTGCCTAAGATGGTTTTGGAGAGGCATGAGGAGTTCGGTTACTTGGATCTTGTTCAAAACATTATATCTGATGGGGACATGAATGACAATAGCACTCTTTCTAAATTTGGCTGTCAGGTGAGATGAGCTACATCTTTGCTTTTTTTTCTTTAATTGAGCTTACTTGTGTTTGTAGTTGACCTGTAAATTTAATTGATAGATGCGTTTCAATCTGCGCAAGACTTTCCCGCTTCTCACAACCAAGGCATGGCTTCTTCATCCCTTATCCATACTATTGTAACAATAGTATTGTTTCATCTTTCAGTTGCTGTGATTAGAGACTGATTTTTTTATCTCTTGTCTTGCAGAAAGTATTCTGGCAAGGTGTTGTAGATGAAATCCTACAAGTTATAAATGGTTCAACCAATCCCAAGGTAATACGAAAAATGAGACCTTTGTGCTACTAAGCAGTGAAGGACAATGATCATATCCCTACTATGTTTTCTTTGTTGGTATATTGATCTATATCTCACAATGTTCTTTCAGGAAAAGGGCACTAAACATATATGGGACAGTGATGAGGCTAAAGAATTTCTTGAGAGGCAAGAACAAGAATACTGTGGATTTAGAATGTTGGTTTATGCAAAGTACACTAACACACTGATATTATTGGTGTTTCAGTTTCGGAGTGACTGCCACAGAAGAAGATGGAGACAACCCACTCTTGTATGGACTTCACTGGAGACGCTCTGATGCTACGTTAGTGGTATTACGTCCATGGATGATTGTTCATACGTTTTTTTTTGCATTTTGACTGATTATTGGTTTTACATTTGCCAGCCAAGAATTCAGTCAGCTCTGTGATGTTATAAACAAGATAAAGAACAATCCTCATAATCAAAGGATCATGCTCTCGGCTTGTAACCCCTTAGATTTCAAATTATTATCTTTATCTCCTTGTCAGACATTCACACAGGTTAGCACTTTTTTTCATCACTTGTGTATTCGTATTGAAGTTTTGGTTGCGTTTCCATTACATATAAATTGAAAATGGTTTGGGGTTTTTGGTTGTTTTTGCAAGTTCTATGTGGCGAATGGAGAACTTTCGTGTCAAATCTACCAGAGCTCAACGGAAGTGAGTCTCGCGGTTCCTTTCAGCATCGCTGCATACTCTCTCTTGACTTGCATCATCGCTCATGTTTGCGGTACGTTGAGTCATTTTACTCTAGACCTTGAGCTTTGTTGTAAAGACTTGAAAGCATTTGTGTTGTGTTGACAGATCTTGTTCCTGGTGATCTCATCCTTGTGGTTGGTGATGCTCATGTTAATACATCTCACATCAAAACTATACAAAAGCAGCTTCAAATCTCCCCAAAACCCTTCCCGGTCAGTAAATATATTCCCTATTTTTATTTTCAGGAAACATCTTCACTTCTTCTCTCTCTCTCTGTAACATCTTAACGGTAAAAAAACAGATTCTGAAGATCAATCCGGAGAAAACGAAGATCGATCAGTTTGAAGCCTCTGATTTGGAACTCGTAGGGATATGACCAGCTGCTTCACAAAGAGATATGAACACTAATACTCATCATGTTGGATTCTAGTTCTAACATCAAACTTACAGGAAACATACTTCATAGTTTATAAGATGGAACAAAATTATACAAAGAAAAAAAAAAGAAAAGAAATGCTAAACAGCATTTTATGCTCGGGATTTGAGATATTTTTACCCGTATATTTACAAACACACATATATATTATGTGAATGCTATTTGCATAAACCAAAGTTTTTCTTCTTCTTCTTCTTCTTTTTCCTTGCTTTTCTCTTAATTACTTACTTTAACATCTACACAATACAAAACTCTTCATCCTTTTGGTTCCTCCTCTGTCTCGCAATGAAAGACTCGATCTTGTATCGGAGTTCATCATCAGAATCAGTTCCATCAGCAGGTCTCTCCGTCTCCGATCTCTTCAGTCTTCCACAAGAACGCTTCTTTGAGCCCTCAAGTTTCTCTGACCCACTCCTCTCGTAGCTCTTCCTTGGGCTTTCCTGTTTTTGGGAAATGATTTGTCTTTGTCTCTTCACAGTAATGTCCTTCGTTTCCTTCTCCTCGCCACTGCTCTGTTTCTCAGTCTTTATCTGTTTCTCTCTCTTATCTTCAATGCTCTGTTTTGCCCTGTTCTCCAGCATGCTCTGTTTTGCTCTGCTCTGTCTCTTATCTTCGCTGCTCTGTTTTGCCTCGCTCTGTTTTTCTCTGCATGTCACATCTGTCTGTAAACTATGCTCTCTTCTTGAGCTCTCTCGGACAAACTCGTCGTAGAAATCATTGCTGTTTCTCCGTGCATCTGGTTCTTGATTCGCAAAGAGACCGCACTTGGCGACTATAGTGATGACTATCGCATTCCCCAAGAGGAAAGCAAGGTGACGGTTGATGAGAAAACGAGTGAGACCAGAGTCCTCGAACATGATGACTAGTTGGTAACAGAGCTTGGCTACTGTAACCATAACTACAGTTATCTCGACCACACGGTAAAACAAATCTAAGAGTATTTGAACCCGAGACTTCTTCACAACAACCTTCATCTTTCTTGGTTTAGCCTTTTGGGTACTAAGCGAATCCATCGGCGTTGAAGAGAAAAAGTATTAGCTTAAAACAGTTAAAACTTCAGGTTGAAATCGTCTTTGAAGATCGAACAAAGATGTTGTAGAGCAAAAGAGAAAGTTGATATTCAGATTATGGTGGAAAAAAAAAACAGAGGAGAGTATGAGTCTGTTTTTCTCTTTGTTGTTATGTTTTAATTTTAGCTTGAGAGAATGTAGCTTCGCAACGTGAGTGTATTTATAAAGAGTCATTGAGTGCATTTGCTTTCTTTTTCAGGGCACTAATCTTCCTTTTTTAAGTGAATTAATGCTAATTTGTTCTTATATGTAAAAAGAGTTTAGTACTTCTCACCCGTAATCTCTTAAAAATCGGGAAAATTTAGTCTTTGTGTCCTAAATTTTCATTTGACACCATGGCCTTGTTGTCTTTTTAGATTTTACATGTTTAAAACACATGAGTTTAGTGATTTTCTGTTCATAAATTAGCTCTTCGTTAATTTAAAGTAAGTTATTTGCATGAATCAATGTTTCAGATGATGAGAAGCTAATGGTTTTAAACCGAAAAAAGTTTGAGAATAAATGTATAATTAATTAAAATAGGTAATTCAAAATCGTGGCTCTCACTGTCTTATAGTATGTCAATGAAACAAGTAACATATCAACTTTGTTATAAAATACTATTTGATCATGGAAAGTGGTGCAGTTCCTAAAGGGTTGTTACTTGTCAAACAATGTAATGCAGTCATTTTCTATAATTCTAATAGGGTAAAAAATCATTTATATTAAAAAGCAAAAGCATACATATACGATTGATTTAGACGAACTCTACGAGAAGTCATATCATAGGCAACAATATGAAATAAATACAAATACGGAAACAAGAAAAAGAATACACGTACTTGTCTGGAAATGGTTGCAAATATTAATACCAAAATTTATAAACCATCGTAATATATCAATCAAAAACTTCTGTATCGATTAATTAACTTGCGTATGTTGGTAGGATATTTCTCATTAAACTCTAATTAATAATCACATTGTTGGTTACCATTGGTAAATAGCTTCACGCACTATCTTCATCCATTTGCAATTTTTTACTCCACTCGTAGCAGCCCACCACTAGTTTTATATGTCCACAAGTGAAAAAAACTCTTAAAATAATGCCGTATCACCATATTTTAAATAAACTTTGTTGCAAAAGTTTTTAGGACTTGAATGATTAGTACAAAGCAAAGCATGTATATCGTGCCAAATTACTATACTCCAGTATATAAAATATACTGTTATAATCGCATAGGCAGTTAATGAGATTTATAAAACGAGTTTTCGTTGTTTGTTTAGACACTCATTTTTGGGGTTTTGAACTTTTGGTAGCACAAATCAACCGCGTGAATCAATAAGTTTAAATATATCGTAAAATAAAACTTGTATTTTTACATTTTAATATTTTATGATAATTTTTTGTTACAAATTTATAAATTAGATACTGAAACTATATATGCAACTCATTTTTCGGAAATTCTATGGTACATTTCTATAACATTCAATATAATGTAGCCATCCATTCACTTATGAAATGTGTGCAAAACAATATAATATACTTTAACAAACAAATCACTATAATATATAGCTTGAATGCGGTAACTTGTACATTTTATAACAATCTCAACATTTCATTGCTCTGTGGTAGCTAGTTCTATTATTGCATATTTCATATACTGGCAAGTTACAAGTGGCGACATGTATTAGAAATCGAATATGAATTTTTGTCTAAAAAATCTAATATTACAAGACACTGATAAATAAAAACCATTGTTTTGATTTTTTTTTAGTTTTCTTACAAAAATATCATTCACATATATTATTTATAATTAATGTCCAAAAATGTACTATTATTTTGTTATTTGACTGTTGATGTGTAATATTAAATTTATCACTTGTCTTATACTGATATACAGTATATAGAATATCACACTGAGATGACAAAAATACAAACAAAAAAACATGAATATCTTAAATCATATTTAAAAAAATACAATAATATAGAAGAAACCATTACTTCTTCACTAAGAGATTGAGAGATGGCTTATACTTCTACAACTTCTCTTTGTTAATGTGTTTCTTTATGTCTTGTCTCTTTCTAACCAAAAGCATGTATATGTGGTTTCATTTCAATTTAAATTTCGTTATTGGATACACTTTGGGAAAAAATAAAAGTCCCACTTCCTTTTTCTTAAAAGCCATGCATCTTCATAATTGCCATGAGCGGTACGTGTCACTCGGTGCTTCAATCAACTCTATGCAAATTATGAAGTATTTTTGTCTACATGTCCTTAGATATTGATCACACTTATCTATAACTACTTTACGTGTTACATTATCAACTGGTATAGATCCTAATTTAATTGAGATATACTGAAACAAATATTTGTAACGTAAAGTTTACTACACAAGCTAGCTAATTTGTCAAGACCGATATGGATCCTATCACTATTTTCTTGTAACTGAATTTCTTTCGGTCAAGTCTTTGATTTAATTAGTCTTCGGTTTAACAAATCGACAACAATCAATATTTTACAGGTATCGTCTTTCAGTTATTTGATTCATAATTTTTATATAATTATCCCTTTTACATCGAGAAATGATTGGACCTCATGAGGGCACAAGGGAATACTTTATTTTATACATCAAAGTGTTCAAGTGTGTAGTGGGCCTTCAAAATCTATGAACAACTTTTCTTTTTTTCTATAATTTAAACTTAGTTATATAGAGATTATGGAGCTTTACTTTACTCACATATACATGATATATAAATATAGATGATGGAATTCTTGTTATATGTATTAATCTAACAAAATTTCTTAACCTTGCCAAAGACAATTTTTTTATATATATAGTTCATTAAAATACTAATGTGACCCCTTTTCTGGTGGCAAATCTATAAAAGATCCAGAATCTGAGTTTCATATTTTACATATTGCTTTAATATAATCTCTTGATAAATAATTAACTCGCAAGTTGATCATAGAGATATAATTTAAAATTTGTATTTATATTTTACGTGCATTTTATAACATTTATTTACTCGCATGTGAGTGCATGCTGATTCAGTGTCACTAATTAAGTAGAACTATTTGTTTGTTTCGATAGCTGAATTATTTGTTTGAAACTGTCTAATTGCCTATAATACCGAAAACGACAAACAGTTTCAAAATTTCAATAAAAGAGAAAACAATGTATGACACGTACGTTACATTTACTTCGTTTATCCATAAAGAAATTGTCCATGCAAAGGAAAATTTATTTCCCTTTTCTTTCTATCCAGAAAACAATAAAAAAACAAAAATCTGACATTTTCATTAAAAAAATCCGACCTGCCGGAATCGAACCAGCGACCTAAAGATTACAGCAACTACTACAGTCTTCCGCTCTACCAACTGAGCTAAGGTCGGTTTGAATATTGTACGATTTTATAAATATATAAAGGTTTTAATATTTGGGCCTAAAATAAGTTCTTGAAATATATATTTAAGTCTTGACGTGAAGCCCATCATAGGCCCAGCTAATATTCATCCTTAAGTTCTTGAATTTGCTCTTTTTTTTCCTTTTTAAAATCACATATAAGGAATAACAAAAAGAGATAATAATTAAAATGCAGTATAGTATATATAAATCACGGTTGGCATAATAAGTTTATATAATTGAATCACAACAACCAACTATACTCTTTAACCTCTATATAAGCTCTCTTTGGAGTTCTCTCTTTGCTGAAAAAAAAAATCAATAAAATAATTGAGTAATCATGGCCAAGCCTTGTGCTGCATTTCTTGTCTTCCTCTGCCTTTCCATGCTCATCTTGTCAACCCCTGGTGAGTTCTGCAATGTATAAATAATAATAATAATAATGCCATAACATTATAAAGGATATTAAAAAATTTATCGAGGAAATTAAGGAATAAACTAACTATTCTGAAAAAAATGCAGAAGTGGATGCTACGCTATGCATATTAATCAAAACGTTGACAAATGTGAAATGCGAGACGAACGACTGCGACTGCGACTACGTCTCCGTCCCCAAGTGCGGTGAATGGGAAGATGAGAGCCATGGAATTTGCAAACAATACCAAATCCGATTCGTTTGCACATGTGCCTTGAACTGTCCTGATACTTCATCTACGTCGAACGCGTAATAATATATGCATATGTTTATTTTCAAATCAATTAAAGAATAAAACATCTACTTAAGGAGTCGTAACATGAGGTTTTTTATGTATAAGTCCATATGCTAATTAAATGTATGGAAGTTATTATATATATTGTGTTCATTTGTGTTGATGGTTATAAAATTATATATGTGATAGTTGTTGCTATATGTATACAGCTTTTTTTTTTTGTCTTGAGAAATATAAAATAATTTTTACTACGTGAGTTTTGAATACATTATATTTCGACCGTAACAAATTTTACTATTGAAAATAGAAACTACTTTTAAAAATAGACATGCAAGCTTTAACTGATCCATATGAATATTAAGACAGAAAATTGGGTTAATTATCGAATACGTAAAGCAAACAATTTGAATTTTTTTATTATTATTATAATACGTAGCATGCGGTGGTATACAGTTGGGTTTGGGTACTATTGGAGTGGCCATAGTTTAAGAAGTCTAAAAAACGAATAATGTGATATTGAAGAAAATCCAGAATCTATTTGTGAAAAAATAAAAATAAAAAGCAAACGACTACAAATTAATAAAAATGAACTTTCATTATATAGTTAGCTAAGATATGGACGAAGTCTAAACTCTAAACTACTGAGAATCTGTCAAGCGCCGAATATTTTTGTTTTGTTTGTATATATTACTAAGATATGAAGTGTTACTAATTGCGCAATTTATAGTGAATGTAAGAAACTAAGAATCTTGAAGAGATATAGGAAGATGTTAGAGTCGAGAAAGTCATCATAGCTAGTGCCAAAGAGTGGGGGAAAAAAGCAAACTGGTGAGGGAGAAAGACCAATAAATTTAAGGCCATACGCTCACTAATGAATTGAAGTACAATATTGAAAATTGGTCATGAGACTATAAGAAAGACCACTCATGTTTAATTACCTCACGTTTGTGACTCTATACCTTAGAAAAAGAGAGACATGCAGTTGCATATGAGAACACATGTTACGATACTTAAAGGAGGAAAATAATGTATATTTTAAAATATCCAAGGATGTTATATATGTTCGTCAAATTAGCGATGAAATTTTTGAATAGTTTTGCCACAGAGAACATTTTCATGG